CTCTCTCTCTCTCGCCCTCTCTCTCTCTCGCCCTCTCTCTCTCTCTCTCTCTCTCTCTCTCTCTCTCTCTCTCTCTCTCTCTCTCTCTCTCTCTCTCTCTCTCTCTCTCTCTCTCTCGCCCTCTCTCTCTCTCGCCCTCTCTCTCTCTCGCCCTCTCTCTCTCTCGCCCTCTCTCTCGCCCTCTCTCTCTCTCGCCCTCTCTCTCTCTCTCGCCCCTCTCTCTCTCTCTCTCTCTCTCTCTCTCTCTCTCTCTCTCTCTCTCTCTCTCTCGCCCCCTCTCTCTCTCTCTCTCTCTCGCCCCCTCTCTCTCTCTCTCGCCCCCTCTCTCTCGCCCCTCTCTCTCTCTCTCTCTCTCTCTCTCGCCCCCTCTCTCTCGCCCCCTCTCTCTCTCTCTCTCTCTCTCTCTCGCCCTCTCTCTCTCTCTCTCTCTCTCTCTCTCGCCCCCTCTCTTCTCGAAATATTGCACATCAGAACGACATGTGATGCAATGTAAGTTTCCCTGGTCGAGTATTTTTCCATTATCAAGTTTTTGCTTCTATCATCCTTTTTGACAAAAACAACAGTTTTGTATATATATATATCCCATTATGATAAGCTTTTTGTTTTAATTCAAAAGTGTTGCAACTGTTATTCAAAAAGTTATATATTCAGAAACGCTGGTCACTCGTTATATATCACTATATATCATTATATAGTGATATGTTACTAACTGCCAACCAATTCCCCCCAAATTAGAGTATTTATACTCTAATTCTGAGTTTCATTCCATTGGATTCCATTCCATCATTCCATTTGGGTTATACATTTCATGATGGAATGGAATATGAACTGCTGGGAAACTCTCACGGACGTTCAAAAAAGAACTTGATCAACACCTCCAAAGGATACCTGATCAACCAGGCTGTAATTCACGCGTCAGGCTACGAGCAGCCGCAGTCTGATTGCCCCAGACCACCAACCACGAGGCCTGGTCAGAGACCGGGCCGCGGGGAGGTTAAGCCTCGGAACCACCGCAAGATAACTCCAAGGGGTAACCTACTGCGGCCCCGACACAAAAAATAGTCCCTGTTTGGCACCATTGGTATGCTAAAAACCATACAAAAACAGCAACAACCTAATCGACCCTGACCTAAGCCCACATAAGCAATTCAAAGCCTAACGTACACAATCTTAGACCTAATCTAGTACATATGTGAGCCGTAAGACTAGGATAGGATTGATTACATTAGATACGTGGGCTCTGTTACCTTCATAATGACTATTCTAAAAGAACATTAAAAAAAATACCAACATTCCTCCAGCATGAAAATAAAAGGTCAAACATCATTGCCTGGGATCTACCTCAATTGATTTGACGTTTGGCTACGAGTAGGATGCTCGCTGTATGGGACGTACGCGCGGCTGTTCCAGACCCTCTCGACCTCGAGAAGGTCGTCGTCGTTCCTGGGAGTTAGACAGATGCTACGGGCTGCTTCCTGGGTGTGTGTGGGGAAAAAAAGTTGATTGACAGTTGAGAGGCGGGCCTTAAGGAGCCAAAGCTCAACCGCCGCAAGCACAACTAGGTGAATACAACAGTATCCAAGCACTTACCTAGGCGACGACTCCGAGTGCAGAAGGGAACCCTTCCAGCACACACTTACCTTAAGCGGCCAGATGGGTAAGTGAAGGGTGACTTCAGGCCCGGATGGGGTCCCTGGAATGACAAAATCAAAATGGTAATCATACAACGCAGAGAACAAACACATGCGGGAGAACAAACACCGCACAGGTAATCACACACACCACCAACCGGCCATCACACAAGCTACCCACACCCAGGACGTGTTCCAGAGGCACACACTGACGACTGACGCAGCCACCATTGACAAGGCGCCCTGATGAACACCAAACTACAGAACAAACACAACGAGAACACAGGTTGGCCTGAAGAACACGTGGGTGGCGAGCTGATGCCTCACTCACCTTGCGACCAAATTCATGTTTAACAATATAGGACTGAAAACAGAGCCCTGGGGCACTCCACTTGTAACTGTTCCCTAAAGGACCCAGAACACAGCCCTGGGGCACTCCACTTGTAACTGTTCCCTAAAGGACCCAGAACACAGCCCTGGGGTACTCCACTTGTAACTGTTCCCTAATGGACCCAGAACATAGCCCTGGGGCACTCCACTTGTAACTGTTCCCTAAAGGACCCAGGTAGACCTGGGCTCACTATATGATGTCAACATTATTGCATGTGGCGGAAGCTGACCTCCGCTCACGAGAGAACATCATGAACATTGGGCCAGTAGAGGAGGGAATGGGGGGGATGGGGTGGGGTGGGTATCCACCCATCATTCCCAGAAGGATGCAAGGTCTATACCATGGGTTTACTTCGAACGTCAACCAGTCTTGTTTTACTAAACCTATGTCCTAATTTAGACAGCATAGATTGAGGGGTAGAGAACACTTATGGACTCCCGGAGGAGACTAGTGATGGGGGCCCATCTTCTCGTCCGTCCTGGGAAGTGCAAGGCGCAGGCGCCAGCGACCCTGCAGCGTTGCCAAGGTCAACATTCACAGGGAGAAAAGTTCCTCACCTGGTCAGCGGGTGCGCAGCTGGGGTCAGCGGGTGCGCAGCTGGGGATGAAGCCCCATGATGGCTTCTGGTTGTTTCCCCTGCACATGTCCAGAGAGGAACATCAAGTTTTTAACACCAAACTCAACGATGAAAATAAAATGATACAAACATACAGTGGAGAACAGAACAGAATTTACATATATAAGGGAATAAGTATGATTCCTATGAGACTCCGCTAGTGACGTCTCGCATCTTTAAACATCTCCACTCTCACTGTCTCCTGTTGCTTAGGTACTCCCTCAGTCACAGCCACACCTTCCTTGTCACTCCTGCCTGCTTCTCCAACCTGTAGGGGGTAACTGTGTCGACGACTCTCTGTCAGTCGCAAAACATGCAGCTTGGTCTGATGTTGGGCTTAATGCCTATCAAACATTGGAGGACTATCAAGGCAACCACAATAGCTTAAGGATCAACCAGAAAGTATACTGTAGTCTTGAAGTAAACTCAGTGTATGTACAGTGAGTGGTGTACTCCGCCTCTCTGGGATGCTCACAGAGAGGCAGAACATGCTGTGTGAAGCATCACACAATAATGCTCATAACGCAGCGTGCTCACCCGTCTCTGTCCCGCCCAAACAGGCCACCTCTGTGTGAACAAATTAACCACAAATTATTTGCTCACAAAATATAAACGCGGTTAAGAAAAGCTTATCCAGTTTTGAGAATGTATTACCGTCCACGGGTTTAAGTTTAGTTCAGTCCCACCAATAGCATTAAAACCAGAACGAAAAATAACACACGAACAAAGAACACCTTCTTACTACCCTCCTCCCCCCCCCCCTCCAATTATACAGTATAGTGCAGGGGATAACAAGGATGGTGGGGGGGGGGGGGAGGGGGAGTCAATGTCCCCTTGACCGTGACTTTACCTGCTACACTACACCCCCCCCCCCAACCATCCACCACTTCCCTCCAAAACCTGCTCACATGGACCCCAGCCTCCTCCAGGCCTTCCTCTTTTCCTACTATCCCTCCTGCTTTTCCTACTACCTCTCTCTCTCTCTCATCATCTCCCCTCCCCCCCTCCCCACAGCCTGTCATTTCTTGCTTCCTACTTCTTATCTAATCTTCCTCTCTCCCTGTTCCTTCACCCTCCCCGCTATGTCTAGGAGAGACACGTGGATCCACATCAACAGTGCCTGATGACGGCGTCCTTCAGGTAATCTCTGACCAACAAATGAGGCGCGGCGACCTGGTACCATGCTGTGAGCAGTGCAGTTACACTGGGTCGTTACAGTGTAGTTGCTGAGGGCCGTTGCTGTGTAGTTACAGAGGGCCGTTACAGTGTAGTTACTGAGGGCCGCTACAGTGTAGTTACACTGGGTCGTTATAGTGTAGTTACTGAGGGCCGTCACAGTGTAGTTACAGAGGGCCGTCACAGTGTAGTTACTGAGGGCCGCTACAGTGTAGTTACAGAGGGCCGTCACAGTGTAGTTACAGAGGGCCGTCACAGTGTACTTACAGAGGGCTACCACAGTATATAGTTACAGGAAGCTGCCATAGACACTATGGTTACAGAAGGGCTTCATAAACATTATAGTTACAGAGTGCCGTCACAAACAACATTGTTACAGAGGAACATTTGTGTTCAGCAATAGGACAGGAAACCCCCCGCTGCGAGGTCCTATTTTTACTTTGGACGACCAATACCTGTTTACACCCGCACCCAGGCGCCCCAAGACAAGAACCAGCTGGCTGGCAACACTCGGGATGTTTACCGGACACCAGCTGGCTTGTGTAAGATCCCCTCCCTTCCAGTATATATATCCGGCCTCTTCACTACACCTAAAAAAGCACAAACTAGACCAATCCAGAGATAAGCAGCGTGGTTTGTTCCAGACCGTAGTCTGTGTAAGGCACAGACTGACGGACCTCAGCCACGCCTCGCTGGAACACGGCGCCAGCAGAGGTCTCGATGTCCGCATATATAGATATTATGCGTTATAATTCCCGTTGTCGGGGACAAGAGGCCGGTATGGAGCCTTATCCAGGTCCCCGGAAAGGACACGTATACTGATCTTCCCCAGGATGCTGTCTGTAGCGCAGACGTTGCCAAGTAACGCAACGTAACGTTACTTTACGTAACGTAAAGTAACGTAATAGTGTGTGACGGCAAACAAAACAAGCTCCAGAACTGGCCAACTCTCAAAGGAATCTTATAAAACGTGTTTAGTCAGTAGACAGCCATTAAGGGCCCTTCAACTAGAACATCCTGACAATACCAGCAAGACATTAACAAGAGGGCGTTGATGCCCCCAGAACCACCCAAGGAGGAAACAACCAGACCGCTAAAATGACAAAAAAAAGCTAATAGTATTTCCGTCACTTCCACGATGATTAAGGTAGTATAATTACACGATAACGACGCTGCTATCCTTGGACTATTTTCGACCGTCATGGCCACGGGACAGGATCGCAGGTGTTTGACAAAGAGGATCCGAAGTGGTAAAGCCTTGGACTTCCCAGCGGCGGTGGGCACCAAGCTCCCTGCGTCAGATCCTCCGGACCAGAGAGTGAGACACGTATATAAACTGGGCCGCAGGAGGCGACACACACCAGTCCTGGTTAACTTTTCTTTGGCGGAGAATAACGAGTCCATAAGGACCGGTGAGGCATCACACTATTCCAAGTAAGGAAAGTTGGCGTTGTAGTTTGCAGGTACAGTAGAAATTGCAACGTGAAATTACAAGTACGTCATGTATCCATGAGAAACTTTTCAGGTTAATATAATGGGATCGAACCCCCACGTATGCCTGGCGAGTCCATGGATGTCGGGTTTGATCTTATTTGTACGGCCTCAGTATATACTCACTCTGAAGTGTGTGTGTGTAGCTTAACGTTATAACTTTTGTGTGGGGTTCATTTGTCACCACTTAGGACCATTTTGGTGTTATTTAAATTTTGCCAGAGTTTATTGGCCAGTGTCACTCAATGACGAATTATACATATTCCCTCCCTCCTCTCCCTCCCGAAACCAAAATAATTTATGATTATCTCATGAGTTTGTCCCTATTTTACATGATTATAAATGATAATAGGCATAACACGAGGCACGTGTCAAAGGGTGTGGAAGGATGAACTTGCAAAAGATATGCCAGAAGCGACGGAAATATCGACTTAACAGCTCCCCCCCTCTCTCACTTCCCACAGCACCGTCTCCAGCTTGTCACCGTCGCTAGCAAGGATGCACCGTCAGCCTGTCGCCTTACTCTTCACCTTGGGTCTTGTCCTCCTGCTGGTGGACACCACCTGCAGCACTTTCTACAGGAGCTCTCACAGCATCTCCCACCGTCAGAAGTCAGGGGGACACTACCATTACAAGGTCCGGCCTGTGTATGGGAAGTGGCTAGTACACAAGACGTCCACCTCCGGGGTCCCCGTCGTCAGCCCTGGAGGCGCCCCCGGACACACCCCCAGCATGGGTGTAGTGCCTCCAGGAACTGGAGGAAGCAACGATCCCGGGTTCTCTCTGGTAGACAACGTTGACGTCAGGGCTAAGTCCTTTGGTAAGTTCCATTTCAGCTGTGACGTAATATGGCAGATGTAAAACCGAAATTTCCACTCACAAATCCCCCACCAATGCACGCTGGTACACCCAAACACACACACACACACACACACACACACACACACACACACACACACACACACACACACACACACACACACATTCACAAGAGGAAGTGTATGATATCCGGTTCGGATGTATAAGTCATAAGTAATCATATACTCACATTGGTGAAGTAATGGGACAAAATGATCCAGAATATGTGGACCCCGCAAGAGTTACACATATCTTACGTCACTCGGTCTGTGGTGGAGGCTTTTGTCCCAAGTAATCGAGGTTTAGGTAATAATAATTTCCTTCAATATAGTTTCAGAGCTGACAGCATGACTGAACTGTATGCTGTTGATGTTATGATTGTTCCTTGTGACTTTCAGAAGAGTGTCAGTGTATTTACTATTTGTTTTTATTATTTGTATCTGTAGAATTGACCTATTAGCTCTTGGACCCCGCCTCTCTCACCAATTTATTTTTCCTCTATTATGTCTACTGCATATATTTCTCTTTCACACGCACGCACACACACACACACACACACTCACATCCCCAGGAAACAGTCCGTAGCAGCTGTCTAATTCCCAGGTACCTATTAACTGCTAGGTGCACCAGGGTGAAAGAAATTCTGCCCATTTGTTTTTGCCTGTCAGGAATCGAACCTGGGGCCCTTAGGACTACGACCCCAAAGTGCTGTCCACTCAGCCGCGAGGCCCCCCCCCCTCTCTTCACACACTATGTGTATGTTCCTTAAATTATGCTTTCGGGGGATGAGCTTCAGTTCTTGAGTTCCAAAACTTGCAATCGAGTGGTGAATATTCCCCGAAATTTTTTAAGTAGTGTCATATATCCATTTGAATCCGCAGTATGATGTCTATCTACCCTGCCAGTTCCCCCTGAGTATTTTGTACGAGGTAATCATGTCTCCAATCTTTCTTCCTACTTCCTGTGGCCTGCAGTTCAGTCCCTTTAGTCTTTCCTCGTAACTCATTCTTCTCTGCTCCAGTACAAGCCTAGTGCCATATTCCAGACTTTCTATAATCTTATTTTCTGTTTAGTCAGATAAGGATTCGACGCTGGTGGCTCATGATCCAAAATTGGTGTGACGTGGACATGTGTGGTCAATCTTGCACATGCTGGTGATGATACCCAATTGATATGGGCCTCGGGAGACAGGTTCGGGGTGAAATCTACCGCCAAAAATTTATCTCTGTCCAATTCCAAAAGAGTTTCCTCACCCAGGGAGGGAGGGAGCCGGTCGGCCGAGCGGACAGCACGCGGGACTTGTGATCCTGTGGTCCTGGGTTCGATCCCAGGCGCCGGCGGGAAACAATGGGCAGAGTTTCTTTCACCCTATGCCCCTGTTACCTAGCAGTAAAATAGGTACCTGGGTGTTAGTCAGCTGTCACAGGCTGCTTCCTGGGGGTGGAGGCCTGGTCGAGGACCGGGCCGCGGGGACACTAAAAGCCCCGAAATCATCTCAAGATAACCTCAAGATAACCCATTTGGATTTGCGAATAACTTTCTTTTGCCAGTACTCAGTTTTATTACTTTATACGTATCTGAGTTAAACTCTAGAAGCTCTTTTTTTTCATTCGTCAGTTTGCCAACGTTATCCTGTAGTTTCTTACAGTCTTCCACTATAATGTTTGTGTCATCAGCAAACAGTGAGAGGAACAGGTCAATCCCTTGTGGAAAATCAGTTTCTTGTCTGATGTCTGTCGCTGTGAACGAGGTCACAGAAGCAAGACTTGCTGGCCCTTAACCCGAGCAGGTGCTGAGTCAGAGATGATCTTCTCTCCAGGTGTTTCTACAGTTATTATGGCCTTGCCGCCATCTTGCATGGTGCTCGTGTAAGGTTCTCTGGTTTGTGATTTAGCGCGTCTTACTCACTTCCAGATCTCTGGTAGTTCACTTGTTTCCAGTAACTTGTTGCATAATAAATTCAGTGGCTAGTATAAGGCTTTTGCCACCTCAGACGATGAGTCACGACTGTAAGCATCCCCCTCCCCCCCCACCCACTCCACCTCACAACCAACACCCACACCCACTCCACCCACTCACTCCACCCCACAACCAACACACCCCCACCCACTCCACCCCACAACCAACACACCCCCACCCACTCCACCCCACAACCAACACACCCCCACCCACTCCACCTCACAACCAACACCCCCACCTCACCCACTCCACCTCACAACCAACACCCCCACCTCACCCACCCACCCACTCCACCTCACAACCAACACCCCCACCTCACCCACCCACCCACTCCACCCCACAACCAACACCCCCACCTCACCCACTCCACCCCACAACCAACACCCCCACCCCACCGACCCACTCCACCCCACAACCAACACACCCCCACCAGAAACTCAAATCCTCCCCACCTCGCGTCACACCAACATCATGGTAGGAAGAAGGTGCAGTGATAACCAGATTGTGCAGTGTAATATTTGCAGCGGGACTACTACTACTATTTTGTATTATATTGAATTATACGCATTGTAAATGATACCCTCCACGGATTGTTTGGTCCACGTCCCTCTGTTCACCTCTCCCCTTCTTCCTCTCTCTACAGGAGGGACATGTCCCCCAGGCTGCCGCCCTAGTTCGTAGTTCGTCTCTTCAGGCTGTAGACGACATCGTTCGACCTCATATATTGACTCTTTCCTTCAAGCCAACGTGTACATGTCTGCCATGAGACCTTCAGTCACCTGCCAACCATGAAAACATCAGTCACCTGCCAGCCATAATAGCATCAGTCACCTGCCAGCCATGACAGCATCAGTCACCTGCCAGCCATGACAGCATCAGTCATGGCTGGGCCCACGACCTCTGGCCCCACTTCAGGGGTGCCCTGGTACTCGCGTTGAAGTACTGGTCATACCACATGTATTTCTTGCAAGGTAAACTGACACAAGGGGTAAACTCTTGTGACTGTGTCGAGGGTAAACTCATGTGACTGTGTCGAGGGTAAACTCATGTGACTGTGTCGAGGGTAAACTGAAGGCCAATTATTAAGGTTACGACGCTACGAGACCCGAATTAAGTTATGAAACCAGCAAGTTGGGGTATTTTATACACGTTTTTTTTCCATATAACTGAAAGTTGTATGAATACAATTGTTTAGTATTCTAAATGTTACATTTGGTCTGTTTATGCAATAACTACAAACAAAGTTATCAATAAAAAATAACAACATTTCACAGCTTGTATAATGTTTTCAATAAAACAGAACATTCTTTAATGAGCAAACCCAATGTTCTTCATACAGCTCTCTTCCCGGTCGCTGTATCACGTCTAGACAGGAAATGGACGTAGGAATATTCATTTTGCCGTACCAGGGGCCGGCGTTCGAGTTTTTGTTAAAGTTACTTGTGCATTTGTGCAGCTGCCCTAGACTATATTAAGGGGAGTGCAGTGTGTCAAAAAGCTAGCTACGTGGTGCTAAAAATCCTCATCACACAGGATGGTTAGTCATGCAGAGGCATGTGATAAGCAGTCTGCACTGGCAGACTCCGGGTGCATTATGAGGATATCATCATGAACACAAGAGTGAATAAGGCAGCAGTGATACTAAAAGTCCCCCATCTCACAGGATGGTTAGTCATACACGGCCAAATGTTCAGTAGCCGGCACTGGCAAATTGTGGGTGCAATATGAGGATATCTTCAAGAACACGAGAGTGAATAAAATAATTGCTAAGCTCCAGGTACCTCATATCAACGGGTCTGAATGGTCTGATAACTGGGCATTCCGTGATGTAGTGTGGGAGATCATGCCGCAGTTCCTGCTCACAGAGTTTGCACCTGGTGTGCTGAGGATTGGGAGATCCGTCACCTGTAGCCACCTGCCACAGGTAACGGTAACCCAACCTGATCCTGGCAACCACTGTGTCGCACAGTCGATTGGTCAAAGTGGTTGGGCACCGCTTCTCTACTCAGTTTGCCCTACCCAAGTGCTATATGGCCATACTAGCCTAGCGCCTTCTCCCAATATTTACCATTTCCGTTCATTCTGCAATGCACAACATTCCATATGTATTCTGAAGGCATAATAATAATAATCAGAGATGGATGAGCATGAAAGTAAAAGATCTAACAGGAAAAAATGGAACAAGTGAATAAAGGAAATAGTAGATATAAACAAAAATTAAACGAGAAATGTTATAAAACAGAGAGCAAGGGAGCCGAGGATAACAAGAGGCGCGAGGATAACAAGAGAGGTGAGGATAACGGGGCAGGAGAGGATAACAAGGCAGGCGAGAATACCAAGGGAACCGGGCATAACAAGGCAGAGGAGGACCATCCCCGTGAGGTTTTCCCACGTGTCAACAAACCAAGGTTAGTGAGAGGACTTGACCATTACAAAAAATAAAGTCATCTGCCAGAAATTACTTGTTTTCTATAGTCCAGTCCAGAGTCCATTTACCTGCAGTTGATCAAATTTATTGATAGAGTAAAGATACATGAAACTAATAGTTTCTTGCGACGAAAGTTGCAAATAAGTTACGAAATCTAAAGCTATACAAGTCCCCAGATCTAGACAAAGTATTTTCCAAGGTCTAAATAGATTGTAGAAATGAGAAAAAAATTATTGGAGCAGGACGTGGATCGAACCAGCGTCCTGGTTAACGCCAAACACGCTTCTTACCCTAGGTCATGAGAGGTTATAGGCTATTAGACCCGGAAACCGCCAGGGTCCACTAGGAAGTCTGTAGGCACCGATCATAGGCTTTACAAACAGCCCGCATGCACTTCTGCTCCAATGTTGTTGTTGTTTCAGATTTAGCTACTCAGGACGAAGTGTCCATGTAGCACGGGCTATGGCGAGCCCGTAATCTTGCTCCAATGATTTTCTCAAGATATATCACGTCGATGTGAGGTGTGTATAGAAGGAGGTGAGGTACTTAGGTGAAGTACTCCATACGTCAGCCAAATGTCGAGTACACAATGTGTCAACTTTGTGAAAGGGAAAACATGCACTCTCTTGAACATTATATTGTAGAATGTCCCATACTGACTGACTTTCGCCCTCCTGGGCTAAGGTATGCTGAACTCTGTAATTAGTATATGAGTACTGGAACACTGGTGATATATTGGACTTTTATCCAAGATTGACCATGTAATATATCAATTATACAATGTATATATATGATGTAACTATATAACCTGAGCTTGTAAAAGTACCTTCATCACCTTCAGTGATTAAGTGCTTAATTGCACACTAGTTTCTTTATCAGCTATCTCACCCTGTCAGAGTAAATGAGACAAATGTATGTGAATGCATGTGTGTGTATATATGTATGTATATGTGTGTGTGTATGTATATGTATGGGTATAAAGTATATATGGAAGCTGATCAGAATTACATTTCACCTCTGTGAATGTACATTAATGACACTGTAAGACACATCAAACACTTTATGTAGGGCATACGTAAATCTGTGTATCTATATATTTACGTATGTAGGTTAGCTTAGCATTTTAAAACCACCGAATCACCTTCTGTGGTTGAGTGTTCAATAAACCCTTGAACTATATGTTTAACACTTCTCTAACCCTGTCCATGGAGGACAGAAGAAAATGTATATATGCTGGTTAGCATTGTAAATGTGTGGCCACGTCTGTGGTAGAAAATAATAATAATAATAAAAAAACCTCCCTCACTCTCGCCTTCCCGTGACCTCCCCGGCTGCAGGAGCTAGACAAAGCAGCCAGGCAGTACGGGAGGGAAACCCCCTCAGTGAACTCCCTTCCCAGATGCCTCGTCTTCCTTGTCCTTCCCTCGCCGCCTGCTGCTGCCACCCACTCGTCACTGTTACACACACGAGGAATAACACGGGGGGCAGTGACGTAACACGGGAGGGGGGGGAAGTGATATAACACGGGGGGGGGCAGAGTGATATAACACGGGGGGGCAGAGTGATATAACACGGGGGGCAGTGATATAACACGGGGGGGGGCAGAGTGACATCTCCTGGTATTAAATGCTTGTTTATAATATATTTTAAGAAGCCAAAGTAACCAGAGTGAGTCGGTTCATTGGAGCACTAACCTAACCTAACCAGTTTTAGTTGTCTCTGAACATGTGTGTGTGTTGAGAGCGCTGCAACCCGGAAATATCGGGAGGGGGGAGGGGGGGGGGGTATTTGGTAGCATCTTGCAACATGTGACCCGTGTTTAAACAACCCGGGTATTCCTCCCCCCCCCCGTCCCATCCCAAATCCTTATCCTGGCCCCTTCCAAGTGCTATATAGTCGCAATGGCTTTTTATGGTAAAGTATAAACTAAGCATCGTAGAAATAATTGGTACTGTAAAAAAAAAAAGCCTATTTGCACGAACAAATTATAATCATACGAAAATACTTTAGTTTTCCCTCAGACCGGAGGACTTTGAGGCACAAAGGTTCAGGTCAACTCGTCCTTTTGAATAGTCCATCACATATTGACGTTCGAATCCCCCTAAGGCAAAAAAAAAAAAACTTATATACTAAAAAACCAGAGCGACTCGCAGAGATGACGTGATGTCCCCGTTTTCTATTCGTGGGTCCTGGGATACGTTAGGTCCGGATAATTTCGTACATCAGCGTGACGGCGTTGGGAGCGCTCGAGAGGATGGACTACTGTAGGTAACGACAAAGTTATTGCACTGGCGTTGTAATGGTGTGTTCTAAGACACGAGGCAGGCTGGCGGGAGCCCTCACAAGGTCGCCCATCACCAGTTGGAGGTGTAACACGCGTGTTTACACCGTCGCATCGCAATGCTATACAAAATTAATAATATTTAGTATTTAGGAAAGTGCCCCCTAACATCGCAGTCACTATACCAGTGACTGCTACAACGTGAAAACCGGGATAAGAACCGGTTTATATACACTGAGAGGTGTATTGACTGCTTAGTGTAAATACATGGAGAGTTTAAATAAATAGTTTAAACTCTTAAGAGTCTAAATAGAGTTTACTTGTCCATGCTAAAGTATATTTACTGGCTGGTCAGGGGGGCCCTTTGACGCGGCCTTAATAACCTTGCGGAAATTGATAGGCTTTAAGCCCGACACCAAACCAACGGGTATAATTAAAAGGTGTGCCTCGTATCGTAAGGTATATATATATATATACATAGACTGATATGTGTACCCTCAATTTTTATTGGTGTATACATAATTAAATTTAGTCATAGACTATGTTCAAGGCTAGAATATACCTTTGTATACTTGATGTTTGCTCAGTAAGCTGGTGTCAACGCTTCAACATCCCTCGTCTAGTTGCTAGCCCTTAAGCAATATACTAGAATATGTGCACTGAGTGTATGTCCTTTACATATCTACACTGACAGTGTATGTCCTACACATATCTGCACTGAAAGGTGTATTTTGCCACACCGTGTATGTTTACAATGTACTTTAAACCTAAACTCTGTTCGGTACACTTACCGGTTGAGCAGAAAGCTATTATGGTAATATTTAATAACCATTCAGCTGTTGATAAGCCTACACCCCAACACACACACACACACACACACACACACACACACACACACACACACACACACACACACACACACACACACACCCACACACACACACACACACCCACACACACACCCACACACACACACACACACAGCTTGTGGCAGCTCTATAATTAGGGCTAAAATATACTTGCTGATAGGCTGCAATAACCCTGCAGAGGCTGATAGGCTTTCATCCCAATAAAAGAAAAACACTGAAAAAGTGAGTTAAGGGATTCTGACCCTCTTGGAATTAAGGAATGAATTGACCAGTGGGTTCCCCGCTCCGTAGCAGATAGGGAAGGGGGAAGTCCCTAGCCAGAAATTCCCCCCAAGGTAATGGATATACAGCCAGAAACTGGTCGGTGATCGCAGTCTTGGCCAGTCCACCCCTGAGTGCGCACGCTCCCTAGCTACCTGACTCTCTACACTCTACCGCGCGCACTTTTTAATGTGAGTTTCTGCCCCCCTAGTACTTTAATCTTGTCTCAACTGTTTCCGATATGATTGAGAAGTGTATTGGCTGTTAACCTAACAATTTATGGTGATAAACGGAAGTGTTCCAACAGGAAATTGATAGAGAAATGTGAGTACTGTGTGTTAGTATTATTTTGTAAACATTGATTAACGCGGAGTATACTGGAACACTTTTGTTGATATTTATGTATCATAACAATGTTTTCAAACCATTAAGGCCGTGTACGGATGTCGCCATCGTTACCACAAGCTATTCTAGTGTATTTGACCACCGTTGCATAACGCTATTAGGAAGTCTGTCATTATCGTTATTATAAGCATTTCAAGTGACTATGACCATCGTTAGTAAAAGCTTCTAACAGTATATGTCACTCTTGTTACCATGAATTTTAAGGCAGTGCATTTCTCCTTTGTTAAAATATGCTTTAGGTGATTGTTTTTACCTTCGTTATTATAAGCTTGGTGGAACACACAACCAACGTCGTTAACCTACACCTTGCGGCAAGGTAACCAATTTTATCATAAGCTTAAAAAACAGTGAATATCACCATCGGATGACTTCTGATTCCTGTTAGTTGGCTTAGAACCTTCCCGTCACATTGCTCATGTTTTCCTGGAGCCAGTTTATGCTGGTTAATGCAACTGTTAATGTAATTGGTAATTTACGATGCGATTACCAACTAATGGGTTGAAACTGAACCCAGACAAAATCGCCCCTTCAAGGCAGTCACTACGTTATGTATACCTGGCATATACTAAATAATTGTTGAAGTTTAACAGGCATAGGCTTTAATGTCAAATATGTCAATTACGAGACTGCGTTGTTCAGTTTGATGAGAGTGATTGGAAGCGTAACTGAAGGTCGAATATATGGTGGTCTGTTGAATGATTTAGGGCCCACGATGGCAGATCAGGTACCAAATGTGCCCCGGCGCTCCCTTGGAGAGTAAATAACATAGCCCTGCGGCCGTACGCAAGTCACTGATAAACACGGCAGACAAACACACTGGTTTATGTTTGGGGGAGTCCCAGGAGTTCCTCCGGAGGCGCTAGGCGCTCCACCCTCCACCCCACACAGAATACAGAAGATAGACAAACAAAGTCGCTGCAGAAATGCGATGGACCCTCCTAAACTCGCACACAAATGGGCTAATATGCAAAAGACGCCTTGTAGTGCTCTCCGGCAGAGCAGGAGTCAGCCGCCCACCACACCCCAAGGACACACCGGGAGCCCACAAAGACCCACCAACCCTCGACACCTCTCGGCGCCGGACACCGTTTTCCCGTCCGAAGAACCAACCGGAAAACGGAAAAATGTAACAATTTCCCCGTGATCCCCAGCGATAAGTGCGCCGTAACAGCCCGGACCGTTGAATAAAAACACATGACGAGTATCGGATCGCGTCACGTGTTCCGACGGCTCCTCTAAAACAAGTCTTAGAGAGGGTGCATCTCTACCAGTACTCAAAATATACTACGTTCAAGCAGTTAGGTCACTCATTGACTATGCTGCTCCTACTTTTACATCCCTCAGTGATAACCAATGGGAGAAACTGGAAGTGTCTCAAAATGATGCCCTCAGAACAATGCTGGGAGCACCTATATGGACGCGGCGAGAAAATCTAAGAATGGAAACCAAATTACCAGTCTTAGGAAACAGGATCACACAAAGGATAGCCACCATGACAGCAAAACTTATTGGAACCACCGCCTGACGGTCAATCAAAGACAGCATACACAGATCGCTTCATAGAAACCTTTAATATAGATTATAGAACAAGGGCATGGGCGGATAATCTAGTCAAGATTCTAAAGAAAGTGGACTTGAAACGGACTATTCAAAATAAAGGGGAAGATAGCCCATATTAACACTTTTGGCAGCCTCCTCTATGGGAAGATTCGAGTCTAAAGATATTCCTTGAAGGATTACCAGTTAAAAACTCAGCATGTGACTCGCAGAGGCTCAAAGTAGTCATAGAAAAACAAATGGAAACCATCTCAAGACCTACAACGACTCACATCTTCACAGACGGATCAGTTGATCAAGAAAGAGGTTCTGCTGTGGCAGCAGTTTACACTAACAACCATGAAGCTCACTGGAGCATGAATAGTGGGTGCATTGCAAACAGAATTATATGCCCTAAAGGAGGCCATAAATTATGAAATTAAGACAAATTTACATGATGTCATCATTCATACCGACCCTAAATCTTCGCTCCAGGCATTGTTATTCAGCCAGCACAAAGATAATATAAAACTTACAGAAATCCTACATACAGGAAAAAGAAGCCCACAATCAAGGGCTGTCAATCATCCTAAATTGGATACCAAGTCACATTGGCATAGATGGTAATGAAAACGCAGACTCACTAGCAAAACTGCCACTGCCCAACCTGTTGTACAGGTTAAAATACCTCCTAAATAATAAATTAAAGTAACATGAGGTAAGTACATGTTGGTATACTGTATTTTGATTACGTCAGAGAATGTCACAATCACTAAAATGTAATAATTCAGAGTACATTGTTTTGAGATTTTCCTTCATAACTTTGTATTATGCCACAAAACTGGAAACTAATCCAGATAGGGTTATATTCTGACCCAAGAAGTTGTGCTGGGAGGATTCTTGCAAGTATTATGTTGTTTTATGACGCAGTACTATCAGAGTGTCCCAGTGCAGGCTACAGAGGGCGAGACCATCACCCTAATAACGTTCTAGTAGGCTGTCGAAAGGTGAACCTAAAGACCTAAGTACATATTATTATAAGCTTTAAGAGTGTATGATAGCATAGGGCCGTCTACCCGGATGATGGGCATGGGGGGCCCTCTTACCCAGATGATGGGCATGGGGCTCCTTACCCAGATGATGGGCATGGGGCCCCTTACCCAGATGATGGGCATGGGGGCTCCCTTACCCTGATGATGGGCATGGGGCTCCTTACCCAGATGATGGGCCCCGCCCGTCCGTTAAAGTGGAAGATTACCCTCAATTATGCACATATTATTGATGTAATTTGAAAAGGGTAATAATCCACTCTACCAAAAGATCTCTCATGAACAATATGGCAGCATGGGCCCCTCATAGAATCATGGGGCTCCCTTGGGCAACTGCCCAGTGTGTCCATGCGTCAAGACGGCACTGTGCCACACTCACACCTGGCAACTGTGAAGACGCGCTAATGCACAGGCCTTAAACTAATCCACTGAACTGTTCCCGACGTGTTTGAATCAAGAGTCCTACTACAATTCTGAGAATAAGTCATTCTGACGTGGGCTGGCTCTTACTCTTGCAGATGTGTGCGACGATGAACTGTGTGCTTCTGGCCGTGGTCTTGTCCCTGGGTCTCCTCCTGGGCACTGACGCCCATGGCTACTACAGTCACCGTCGTTCATACCGGCCCTACGGTTACTTTGGGGGAGGTGGCTCTATATTCAATGACGACATTTTCGGAGGTGGCAGAGGACCGGGAAGTATCTTCAGAGGCAACAGATTCCAAGGCGGCGGTGGGTTGCCTGGTGGATTCCCAGGGGCCGGTGGATTCCAAGGGGCCGGTGGATTCCAAGGGGGCGGTGGATTCCAAGGGGCCGGTGGATTCCAAGGGGCTGGTGGATTCCAAGGGGGCGGTAGATTCCAAGGGGGCGGTGGATTCCCAGGAGGCAATGGATTCCCTGGAGGAAACATCGGAGGCGGCGGTGCCACAGGAACCAACGGAGCGAGCGGGAACACCGGATCCAACGCTATTATCAGTGAGTTTATAAACGTGATGTTAAATGCAACAATCGATTCTTAATTTAAATACCAGACGACGTAATGGAAATAGGTCTCACAGACCTCTGTACACTGTAAGAGACTGGTTGTTCACTTATCTCCACAGCACTCCTGCATAAATGCAAGCAAAAACCTTCTATAGTTTCACCAGCAGGGACTAAAACTACAATTATTCCTTTATATACTCAACATTAATGTTTTGTGTTCGTCCTTCAGCACCTGGAGGAGGAGGGAGCTGCCCCCCAGCACGCTTAGCCTGCCCGTCTACGAGATCGCAGCCAGTCCAGTGCACGTCGGACAGCGAGTGTCTGGCGGGCCGCAAGTGCTGCTTTGATGCCTGCGTTCAGACCGAAGTGTGCAAAGCCACCGTCTAGCGGAACTCCGGGAGCCATCACCGGCACCTCCTCTTGTCCCTTGGGGTTTCCTCCTGGGCATTAAATACGATGGTCTCTGGACCTAAATAACTCGTATCTCTCAATTTGGCATATTAACCTTTATCAGTATTATGTATTATGTGCTATTAAAAGTAGCCAACTTATTTCAAATGTTTCTTACATATTTTAATTAAATAACGTTCCGTTACCTGAATATCCAACATAAGTTAAATTTATAAACTACTGCCATCATCTACATACAAACATAGTCCTGTAATGATGAAATAAAACTTGTAATAAATAATATACCATTATGAAAATTGAAACAGGAAGTTGTTGATCGTGCCCGATCTTTGTATTATTAATAAATCTATTCTTGTTCATTTATTTTCATTTGTAGCTACTGTATTATCCTCCAAGCTTTAACTGTTTATGTGCCCAGTTAGTTGTGTTTGCAGGCGTTAAAGCTCTTTTTGTTTCCCCCTTTTCCTATCTCTGAACCTGTTATGGACTGACAAACAAGTTCCCTAGCCTATTACGCTGCAATATCTACATTTGATGTCTGGTATCAACCTGTCCTCTTACAACGTACGTCGCAGTTCGATCGTATGCGTTACATAAGGCCAAAAATTCTCGTACTTGGAAGTGACGTACAGACCTGTTTTCTGTTTTAGGTTCTCTGGTAGGTTAGGAGAGGACACTTTAAATTTACCGGTTTCTTGACGTTGGGAAACCTTAGGGAGGGCAGGCTGCTGTTATAGTGTGCGTCTGAGCCACTTAATTTCTTAGGGAAATTAAGAAATCCATTTGTTTACTGCTCGGAAAACATTATTTCCAATGTCTGTGTTGTTCACTGGGTACTTAGGTTTTATAGCTCTGTGCCCAATTCGCGTACCACCCATTCCAAATTGTTTGAGGATTTTTGTGTTGTGATCGTGTTCCCTGGTTCTTCTTTCAATTAGTGATATTTAATTACTAGTTTTTCCACGTAATTCATACCTCTCAGCTCCGCGACTAGTTTGATGACATACATCTGAACTTTTTCCAGCCCTGCTGTGCGTTCAACGTTTAAGGACTCCAAGCTGGCATTGTATTTTATAGAACTGTTCTGACATATATGATATTCATGGTTCTGACTCCTTATTTACATTTATTCAAACAGTTTTGTATTGTATATGCAGCTGATAACTGTTTGACATAGGCTTCGGGGGATAGGCTCCATGTGACAACCTTTCCCCCCCCCCACTTTTTCTCAATATGATTCTAGTAGGCTTTCCTCTTCCGTTGGATAACTTACATTAAGCTTCGTTATTTTGTTCTTGCTCGAGTAGAACTCAAGTAGCCACTTATTGGGTAATTCTTTCAGCTTGTCCAAGTCATCAGTCAACACTGAAAGTGAGGTGTCTATCTTCTCTGGGAGGTCACTGACGTAGATCAGATACAGGACAACTTCTACTACTGATCTCATTGGGTCCCCCGGTGGTAACATCTCGCTGTTCTGAAGTATCTCCTCTCACTGTGACACTTTTCTGCTGCTTGGATACTTCGTTATCCACTACACTCCTTCCTGCTTCTCCAACTTGTGAGCTTGGAGAACTACGTCGAGGGCTTCCTGACAGCCCAAAAATTACAGATGCACCCCAGCCTTCCCTGTCCTGTCTGTAAATTATGTCGCCAGATCATGAAGTTCTATGACTTTTACGATGCAAAATATGTCGTCTAGAACTCGTGCTGTTATTGCGTCATAAAGGCTCTTGTCTCCGGATGTTCAACACGCCTCTTTCGTATGATCTTTTCCATTACCTTGCATGATATGCAACAATGCTACACTGGGCTGTAATTTACTGCTGCCAGTCTACCTCCCTTTTAGTACAGTAACATTTTATAAGCCGTCTTCCTACTTTCAGGCAGTGTTCCTGTTTTAGGTGACTTATACATATCACAGTAAGTGGCCACCACAAGGCATCAGCACCCTCCTAGTAGCTACAGTGAGATCTTGTGAGACCCCTACAGCCCTAGTCATGCCCAACAGGTGACTCCTCTCTTTATGGTAATGTCAAAATACTTTAATACTCTGATTTGACTCCGTCCTTCACAGTTACGCATTTCCCTTTGCACTATTGTGAAGACTTGGAATCTCATATCGAACTTCTCACATATTTCCATTTCATTCTCTAAGTACGTCTTCTCCGTCCTCAGCTTCATCACCTGATCGTTTCCCACGCTTGTCCTGATGTAACTGTGGAGTAGCCTGGGTCCCTTGCCCCAAATTGCAATTCTACCTTTTACTAGAGAATGACCGTGTGAGGCTTTACAGCAGCGTGTCAGCGCAACTAGACTGTGTTTAGCGGTGAAAAAGGCTGTGTTTAGCGGTGAAAAAGGCTGTGTTTAGCGGTGAAAACAAAACCAATATTCTCGTCAAATTTGTATTGCTATTTACCGATGAAAATAATGTGTGGCTGCTGTTATATAGCGAAACTCAGCAGCAAAAGAAAATTGCTACAAATAATATAAACAACAGAATTACTCTATACACACTGCTGGTACAGCAGATCAACAGTGAAGAGCGATTTATGTGGAACACGTCCCTATCCAACTCATGCCTCTCCAACCTATCCCACTCCAACCCATCTCCCCTGTTCTCCAGCTGCCTGAGGACAACAGAGGTGAAGAACTGAATAACAGGTTCCACCAAGGTTATCCACATGCTTTGGCGTGTGAGAGATCAACACGACAGAACAAAAATGGCAAGTACAGCATTGCGGACGATTACACGCAGCTTGGACAATTACTATTTGCTAATATGCCCAACGTTCCAGCAGCTAGCACCACTCACCACCACCACCACCAGCAGCTAGCAGCTAACACCACTCACCACCACCACCAACATCACCAGCAGCTAGCACCACTCACCACCATCATAGCGGCTCGCAACATTGACGTGACATCCCGTTTTCTATTCATGGGTCTTCGGTTAGGCTACGGTTCGGCCAATTTAGTACAACAATTTAGTGATGTTGTGAGCGCTCGAGAGGACGGGCTGCTGTCATAATGACCGTTTAACACCGGACTCCCATCAAATACACGACAAATGTGAATAATTAGCAAAGAAGGAAAATTACGTTGCAAGTCACTCAAAACATGTTTGAAAACGTTATTACAAAGTTAACCAAAATCTGGCTTGCAAAAAAAGTGAAGACGGAGTGACGGGCACGGGACGGAGTGAAGGGACACGGAGGCAGAGTGAAGGAACAAGAAAGAAGAGTGAAAGAACGAGGGGAAGAGTGAAGGAACGAAAGAAAAGTGAAGGAACAAGTAAAGAAGGTGCGGTAACCAGATTTTATGTTTATTCCAAAACTAACCAGTTTTTGTCGATTCCGTTCCGTGCCCCCACGACGCTGGCGCAGCATAGAGGGAATGTCCACTCGGCTACACTGTAAGGGTTTACCACAGACCACAACCTGCATCTTGTAAACATATACATATATTTACAACTAGTACCTTCATATCCGGTGTTTGAACCCCCACTGCTTTGACAACCTGTGTTCTTGGCGGTAAATGGGACTGGCTGGACCCCCTGTCAAGGACAATGGGCCTAGGCTAGAGGCAGAGGACATATTTGACGTGTGGCAATACTGTACATAATGCGCAGTCCTCGACACACACACTCACATTTAAGAGAGTTGCCCATAAACTCAGTTCATACTAAATACTGTTATCGATTTAATTTACTTAGGCACTAGGAGATTCAAACTCTCGATCGATCCCACGCGCGTGAGGCAAAAAGCCTAACCACTGTACTACGCAGACGGCTCCAATAAAGACGATTTATAATGTTTATTTCCACGATAGTGTGGGTGACAATTTGTACTGTTATCGATGCTGACATTATGCTACGTGTACTGTAAGAATAGGGCTCGGACTCTCGTCTTTAACTAAGGAATAAAATAATTAGATTTCCCGCCTCTCAGCTAGTCGATCGAGATCAAAATTTTCCTTGTTCGTGAGTCAGTAATTCCCCCGGTGCGATGGATATATACCGAGTACTTGCTCCACATTCAAGCAGTTGTAGCCAGACCGCCTCCGAGAGTGCACGCAATATCTTGGAAGTTCCGTACCCAGTTCCAATATCTTGGAAGTTCCACTGCTCTCACGTAAATTTGTCTCGTAAGTATAAAAACATCTTAACCAATTTAAATTGAATGAAATTGATTCACAATTGAGGATCTCGGGTTCGATCCCCCGGGTGTAACAGACTTGGAATGGATAAACACACAGATGTATAAACCTGTGGCTGTATACATCTGTATGTTGCTTAGGGGGGCCTGTGGCTGAGTGGACAGTGCTTGGGACTCGTAATCCCAGGGTCCAGGTTCGATCCCCGGCTATGGCGGAAACAAAATGGGCAGTTTCTTTTACCCTGATGCTCCTGTTACCTAGCAGTAAATAGATACCTAGGAGTTAGACAGTTGTTACGGGCTGCTTCCTCTGTGTGTGTGTGTGTGTGTGTGTGTGTGTGTGTGTGTGTGTGTGTGTGTGTGTGTGGTGGGAAAAAATCAGTTAATCGATTGCCAGTTGAGAGGCGGGCCGAAAGAGCAGAACTCAACCCCCGCAAGCACAAGTAGGTGAATACACCCCCTCTCCTTGACAGTTGAGAGGCGGGACCAAAGAGCCAAAGCTCAACCCCCCCCCCACCCCGCAAGCACAACTAGGTGAGTACACCCAGCTGCACCACTTACAACACACAATAACATAGGCTGCAGAAGCATGAATACCCAAAAAAACTAACCACTCAAAATGCTGCACATTTACCTCCACTCTCTTACTTTCCCCATGTGATCAAAACGCTTCCTCAATATGCTTCCAGAATAGCCTAGTACAGAACACGCACAGATACGGCCAAGTACTGTGGGGACCTCACAACACTACACAACCGCATATTAAACACCCTCGATGATCGGAAACACCTCATTAAAAAACCCGAGTCCCAGAGAATAACAACAATCAAAGTCTATACAAAGTCCTAATATATTCACTCATCAGTTACACACCACCTGCACTCTCCCTGCCGGCCAAAACAAACCACATGAAACTACAACCCATACAAAACAAGGCAGTATGATGGGTTGCCAACGCACACACATACACACCGGCAGGACCACCACACCAATGACAGCCACCATAAAAGAGGAAACATACACTCAATACATACTGGAAAACCCTAGCTGACAAATACACAGACTTATAACACACCACACCACCTTCCTCAGTGACACACTTGGAAAAACCCCAAAATACACACAATCTCTCCAACTCTACACGTGCCCTCCTCTACCACCTGCATAGATAAACAAAAAAGTTTTGACCGTTTATCATGAGGCTGCGTTAAGCCCTCAGACTAAAACGTTTCCTCTCACCTACTTCTATCACCATCTGAATTGTCCCCCCCTCAGAGTACCTTTCTTTTGTACTTCCTCACACACTCATCTTTCCGACTTGATAAAAGTCCACAACAGACAGAAACGTCATCTTTTCTTTACTTTCATATGCGAGTGTTGGGCTACGAATTTTCAGCCACGCTACTGTGACATTCTCTAAATAACAGTAATGTTTAATTTATAACAATAACAGCGGTTCTGATTTCAGTGTTTCTTAAATTTCATTTTCTTTTATAAAGCCACAAATAACGGGCAATGCGAGAATTGAACATTCCGATGCTTTTTTGATGTTGGACTGAAAGCCTATCAACCTCTTAAGGGTTATTAGGCCACTACATTTGCTTACTGACCAACCAGCCAGTGTGTGTACTTATCACTAAAGTGAGCTGCTACTGGTGTATTTTTCCGAGCCCTAAGAGTCGTGAAAATGAGCGCTTATAACATGGACTAATCTTACTCTTGCAGGCCCGTGCGATGAACTGTTTACGTCTTGCCCTCGTCTTAACCCTGGGTCTCCTCCTGTGTTCGGAGGTGGCTGCACAGCGTGGCAGATTCCCATGGCGCGACAGATTACAAAGAGGTAGTTGTACAACACTTTATTTACTATTATGTGCTTCTTTACTCGTCCTAGGAGCGGTAGTGAACCCCCATACCGATCCTTTCAATGGTTGTGGACCCCATACCGATCCTGTCAATGGTTGTGGACCCTATAACCATCCTGTGAGTGGTAGCGGAGACAGTTACAGAAGCACATACAAGCTTCAGGAGCTGAACCTCAAAAATTCGTTTAACTATGCAAGTTACAACACTGAACTAGTTGCATAGTGTTGCATATAAATCAATCAACGGTCTACTCCCAGTTTATTAAATTACGTCGTCACCGTGATCTCAAGAGGCTCTAAGAGCGAGAGTTACTTGGCCGAGCAAGTTACAATTTTATTCCGACTACCATGCATCCACATCCATGCTGTGGGCCGTGCGGGGTGTTCAGTCACTTACATGCGCTACCACCAGTTACCAAACTACGGAAAGTCTGTTAGAATTTAAAGTAGTTCGTCACTCTGTATGAAATACGGAATGTGAACAATTTGTGAATGTTTCCGCTTAGCGGTGCAGGGTGTGAGAATAATTTCGCTGACACAGTATACATCAAGTTAACATCGGTAGGTGATGCAAACTATTAAGAGATATATATGTAGCTCTACTAATCTACGTTGTTTCAGCGCTACAAGGTCTTTAAAAAGTTCTTTGAGGGTATATTCTTTGGATAACTGAATAATTCTATCAACAGGTCAAAGTCAGATGGAATCCTCATGAAATGGGCTTTGTTACCATTTTTCACAATTTTGTAGTACGCGTATAGAGCTTCAGGTACATATATGCTACAAGTATGTGTAGCCGATGAGTCACAATAACGTGGCTGAAGAGTTCACACCGGACCTACACACCTGAAATGGAGAAATGACGACGTTTCGGTCCGTTCTGGGCCATTATCAAGTCGTCTTGATGCGTCTAGAGCAAATAAGGATGATGAATAATCACGCAAGATTCATATTTGGAGATATGTACACACTTGAGTGTGCCATGAGTATAGCAAATAGATCGGATTATTAATGTGTACCACATTAAGCAATTTAGTAAGCAGGAACATCAGATCCAGTACCATTAGTGAGTTTATAAAAAACAGTGTCGCAATGTCGATTTTTCTTGTCATTTTTTACAAATCCAAATTACAAAATGAAAATGTATCAAAATCCCAATCGTAAAATAACGTGGGCCAAATCTACGGAGCTTCTTCAGTATTGCATAAAATAACAAAACATTCTTCCTATGTTTTTACGTTACTAATGTGTAATTTTCCTCCTGCAGGAGGACGCTGTCCCCCTGTACGGATTGGCTGCCCGCCCGTTGCTTTCGGAATTCAGCCGCTTAGGTGCTCCTCGGACAGCGAGTGTCTGGCGGGCCGCAAGTGCTGCTTTGATGCCTGTGTCCAGACTGAAGTGTGCAAAGCCACCGTCTAGCGGACCACCGGGAAAGGAAAGGAATTACCAGGAGAATATCAGAGAATATCAGGAGAATTATCAGAGTCATACCTGGCAACAGTTGTTGCCAGTGATGCCATATACCGTGTTGCCATATAAGGAATTTTTTTTCGTCTTAAATAACTCGCGTCTCACAAGTATGTCAGTATATCTATAATTATACATCAGCAAAATAGTAGTTTATTCCACACTGAATAGTATGGAATTTTAAAATGGTAAACGTATGTTAAAATTATATACTGTTACAATTACGTAGATTTAATATACAATTCATTATAAAACATAATCAATAATTATACAATTCGGTATAAAACGTAATCAATTATAAAATTCAGTATAAAACAATCAATAATTATACAATTCAGTATAAAACAATAATTATACAATTCAGTATAAAACACAATCAGTAATTATACAGTTCAGTATAAAACAATCAATAATAATAATACAATGAATCACTACGAAAAACTGCACTAGAGAGCAAGAGATACCCGTGTTACATTTAAATATTGTCCAGCGCTGATCTTGTATTGTTAATAAAGTATACTGATGTATACCCACTTACAGTAATGACCAGTATATTATCCTGAAAGCTGAAACCGTTTATGTTGAGAATGGAGGACCAGTTAAATGGTGGAATGATAACAAAAGACAACATTTTGTATGAATATATCTACTGCATGAATACGAAGTGTAGTTATTGTTAGGTAACAACTCTGAACTACCTGGTGTGGTTTGGTAGTGGGTTGTAAGGCTTATCAACCTCTTAGAGGGTTATACTAGGCCCACCAACAATAGCTTCCTCGCCAACCAGCCAACTGTACACAGTTGGTGGTACAAGAGGCCAGGAGGTCTAAAGTCTTTTACGATTTCACATTCAACAATATAGTGTTCTAGTGAATGCATTAAAGGTTTGTCACAGAGTTTACAATCTGAATATTCTGGTAGTGGCTCAGCCTCACTAACCTACCAGATGTGTCTATAGCCAAGGCGATTTTGCGCAATGACTGCATTCCATTGCCTGGTCCGGTTACTGTGCTGACCATACAAATACCTATTATTACAAAAATTGTCATAGCTTTTAATACCGCAGCTTTCAGGTCTCTGGGCATTTCTAAGTTCTTCTAAATCTGAAGTAACTTATTTAATTTGTATTTTTCTAATAATTGCATTAGTCAAAGTCATAAACAATTTTCTTTCGCAAGCCTCATTGGCCAATCTATTTACACAATCATGTTTTCCAACTCCAACATGGGATGGGATCCACACAAATTTTATACAAAAGTTATTATCATTGGCAAAAATTACATTAAATTTAATATTACAAGCTACTTTAGACATTAATTATGATGGGTTATTTAAGGATGCAGAACACTTTTAGAGTCACACAATATCACTGAACCCCCCATTGAGCTTATGGTACTCAGTGGCTAGATAAATACCCAACAGCTCAGACTGTGTCGTGATGCCCAGTCGTTTAATCTGTGTACTAGACATGATCATTTCATTCCCTTTATATATTGCACATTTACAACCTGCTCTACCAGTGCCCAATTGCACAGAACCATCAGTAAAATCATAGGATTCAGTTGAGTTTGAGATTTTGAAGATGACTGTCAATAGCTTCTAGTTAATTTTTAATTTTGCCCCGAGGGGCGACTTTATTGGGCAGCGCCACCCATCTTGTGAGTGGACATACCGCCATAGCAGCATGTACAACACTCCCCAATAGGAAGAAAACCCGCTGTGTTGTTCATCCTGTCACTTGTATCCAGACATACCTGGGACTTGCTTAACTGTCTCAAGTGAACAGCTTCTCAAACAAGAAGATTAACATTTGTTAACCCTTAAAATATTACGTTAACATGCGGGTGCGTCATTTATCCAAAGATAAACACTTCGAATGTTCCAAGAAAGAAACTTAATTGTTTTTGTTTGATGAGCCAAGGTTAAGTATCAAGGGAATGAAGGTATATTTAAGCTCGTTAAACACTTGAACAACAAAACCAGCTTTTTCGCGTGTGTTCTTAGTAATATCACTTTTGCCTAGGATGTATTTTACCAGAGCATGAGTTGGTATTTTCTTAAACTCTTTATCTTTAAACACGTCCAGAGTTTCATCATGATCTAGTGGGTGTGTCAGTGAGGGATCAATGACTAACACAATTCCCCATGGAGATGTGACACTCATGTTCCGTAGAGTTAGGTGGAGTAGCCTCAACACCTGCAAGCGTCACTCGCATCTCAACTGGTGCTGGGAGAATTTACTTTATCACTATCACTAGCAGGACTCACCTCACCACTATCACTAGCAGATTCCTCTCTAATGTCTTTATTTTACTTTACAATTCAATAATTTGCATTTTTAACCAGTCAATTTCTTCTGTATCTTTGTTTGCTTTAGTCCAACGATGATTGGAAACTGCTTACTAGAGGTGACATCAGGAGCGTCCTGCTGGGTGCCTTCTGCAGCTGGACCAGACGCCACTGGCTTCCTACTCGTGTTAGGGAGGACTAGGCGTCGAGCGCAGTTCCCATGCCAAACATTTACGCCTTCAAACAAACACCAGGGAAATTTCTGATCGCAGGGTAGGCTACCTCATCGTCCACAGGGATAGCAGGGTCCCTGTGAGGACACTACCTTGTATAGTGGTGTTCAGCACAGAGCCCATACAGAGTCACGTCGACAGTACTTGGAAACACGATGAGTACCGTGACAATCATAAACAACAGCAGAGGACACCCAAGGTCTGATAGAACTTGGTGGGATGAAACTTCCAAATGAAAGGAATATTGTTGAGGAGGAAGGTTCGCTGCCTTTCCAGACAATGATGATCCTGTTGAGAGGTTCACCATCCTTATATATTCGTCTTGCCTTATAGACCCCTTCAAGATTAAAAGCTCTATCAACAGGAAACTCTTTGGGAAAACTGAAAACAAGATACTCCTTAAATCTTTTAGGGCGATTGATGACGTCTTCTTTGGTGAAAATCATATTACCAATCTTACTTTCAACCAGTTGAGTGATATCTTTTTGTTTACATGACATATAGATATAGGAGATGTAACTCTAGGTTGGACTAAATCGAGTAATGTTTTGGAGAAGTCATTAGAAAGTTGTTCGAACCATATGAGCTTAGCTTGGGTCGTTGTTCCAGCTGGGAATGCCAGGCGCACATAGTTAACTCGGGGAGCAAGAAGTGGCCTGAGTGGGTGTTCTGCTTGCTGGCCCAGCAACAGTGAATACATTACGTATTGCCTGGCACACAATATTTACAAATGTTTCCTCCTAATACCCAGTTCACGATGCATATTTACTCGAATCTGACATATGCACTGCTCTGACATATCACTCAAATATACAGCGAGTTTGTGGTGGTGGTGAGGATTCGAGTCATCTTATAACTAAAGACGTTGTCCAGTGGGGTTTCCCCATCCTGCCACGATGGTAAAGTCAGTAATTCCCCCAGGGCAATGGATATATTGTCAGAAATTGCTCCGCGTTCAGTCGTGGTTGAGACCTCACGGAGTGCACACGTATGCCCTGCTGGCTTGGAAGTTCCTAGCCTGCTCCTCCTCTGCGCGCACACCTTTAATGTGAGTTTGTCCCGCAATTGTCTGTACATGATTCAATCAGCACTGCTTAACTGTGATATAAACTGACTAAACACTTAACATAAAAAATATTCTAGTAGCATAAACATCAAGGCAGTGTGTACATATTAGAACTGGTCCGTAACAATGTACATAAATCGATGTATGTTGCTTATTGTACGATTATGTAGTCGCCTAATTGTGCTGCGGAGGTTGGGAATCAGCTCCTTGGTCCCGCCTTTTAACTTTCAATTGTAATTATGGACAAGTTTCTAAGCCTGTTGCTGTTGAGTTCCGTCGTAGCTACATTTGAAGCTGTGGATGTTTACTTTAACCAAGTCACTTTTCAGCATATTGGAATGACTAACAACGTTCGTCTACCACCCAGTCCAAATAATGTGTCCTTAACTGAACTAGAAATTTCCTTGAAATATGATAATCATGACTTCCTTGACTAACTTCCAATGACATGAGGCTTAATTCCATTAGTCTTTCCTCATAACTCATGCCTCTGAACACTGTGACTAAGTCTAGAGGCATACCTCTAGACTTTCCCAAGTGTTGTTTTGCGGTTAAGGAGATAGGAACGACGACGATGCCGTATATTTATTTATTTATATACAAGAAGGTACATTGGGTTAGAGAGAATACATAGGATAGTATTTACAATCTTGTAAAGCCACTAGTACGCGCAGCGTTTCGGGCAGATATTGGTCCAACGTGTGATATACAACGTATTAAATGACTTCCTATTCAGATTACTACAGCAAATTCTTATGTTTGCCAACCTTGCATATGCACGAGAACACACAAAAATAAAGGAAGCTGCAGAGTGAGGTGTGAAATATCTACAGCATAGTCCACACCCTAGTCTAGTTTGGTCAATAAATTATGAGATATTCGCCTCAATATCAATAAAGCCTGACAACCCATCCATCACAAATCATTGTACTCTTAACTACTATGGATGAAACGTACAACATTTTGACTGTTGTTCCTAAAAATGGTTCAAGTTTTATATTATTTTGGATTTTTCTGAAGGACATAACACAAACTGGAATAGACTAATCATAAACCTATCCAGTCCTAGGCCTTAATAGGCAATCATACCTAATTTAATACATATATTTATTAAACCAGGTCTAGGAAAAGATTAATTTGGCGGTTGCAATCTTGTGCTGTGAAGAAAATGGACTTTTTTCGGAGCAATCGTCCATATTTTCCACGACACAATTGCTATGCTAGCACTCTTGGACGATAGGTTGCTAAATAATTGTTGTTGTTTAAGATTCGCTACCTAGAACAAAGTTCCAAGTAGCACGGGCTATGGTGAGCCCGTAATTGCTAAAATAAAGCAGAGGGGGGCTCTCCATAACGTTGATAACACTCCCACCAACGCATTAGTAACTAGTGTTTGATACCTGAATGTCGTCGCGTGTCAACTTGGCTCCTCCCACAGGTCTAACAGGTAACAGCCTCCACTCTGAAGGTCGACTTGTGACGCAGAGGCACACTGACGCACTATACCCCAGCACCTGCCACTCGTGCTCTGATTCGTCGATTACGCTGTCTCCTGCCACTCCACTAATCACCAAATGACACGTGGCACTATTAGTTGGACAAGTGCGTGATTAGGAGGAGGAGGAGTTTAAATGGAGACGCAATCCGTTTTACAGAGAAATCACGAAAAATAAATAACAAAATAATGAAAGTAACTTAACAATGATACCTAATCTAAAACATAAGAATACATATTCAAACTGATTATTGCATGGTCTGGCCTCTTGCGCACCTCTCAGCAGACCAGAAACAATTCTAAGAGGTCTAAGAGATTCTAAGAGATTCTAAGATGCACGAAGCTCCCACAGTTACCATGAGCTTTAAGACACTACATGTCGCCCACAGACATGTCTCTTCCACAATGTAAACTTTAGTATATGGCATCGCGATCGTTATTATCAGCTTTAAGGCAACGTATATATATCCACCTGAGAACGGTGAAGACGCTCCGATGCTCAGGCGCAATATTGATCAAGTGAATTGTTACTGGCATGCTCAAGTCAGTCCTAGAGGCGGGAAAAGGAGTAATGGTAACATGAGCTCAACTTACTCTTGCAGGCCCGTGCGATGAACTGGCCGCACCTCACCCTGGTGTTGGGCCTGGCTCTCCTCCTGGGCACGGAGGTGGTGGCGCACCTGGGCTACTACGGGCACCACAGACACCAAACACCCTTCGGCCACCATGTAGGTGGTGGTGGTAGGTTACAAGGAGGTGGCAGAGTCCCAGGAGGTGGCATTGTCCCAGGAGGTGGCAGAGTCCCAGGAGGCGGCATTATCCCAGGAGGTGGCAGAATACCAGGAGGCGGCACTGTCCCAGGAGGTGGCAGAGTCCCCGGAGGCAACATCAGATCAACTACCACCAGTGAGTTTATAACAATGTTACATATAAACGTTTCTTGTTTTAACATTCCCAAACGAGAAAATATCTCAAAATATCAATGTGTTACACTGAAGATTCGTCAGTATTGAATACAATAAGCCTGTGTTCCTATGTCTATACGCTACTGATGTGCATGTTCCTCTGCCAGGGCCTACAGGAGGGAGCTGTCCTCCCGTGCGACCTGCCTGCCCAGCCACCAGGATCCAGCCTGTTATGTGCTCCACGGACAGCGAGTGTCTGGCGGGCCGCAAGTGCTGCTTCGATGCCTGTGTCCAGACCGAAGTGTGTAAAGCCACCGTCTAGCGGACCACCGGGAGCCATCACCGGCACCTGTCCCTGTATGGAGTTCTGTTGTCTTAAATAACTCGCGTCTCACAATAATCTCGAGTGTGTCTTACGTCACACTTAATAGTAGAGAGCATTCAACGAATCTCTAATAATATTCGGTTATATAAAACAATTCAACATGTTAAAATTATATACAATCACCAATATATGATACAATTCAGTGTAAAACCTATGCAATAATTATACAATGATCACTACGAAATCTCTACTACAGGAAGGGATACTCCTGTCACATTTAGTTCCTGTACAACGCTGACATTGTATTAATAAAATATATTACTGTCTATGTTCTTTCAATTGTGACCAGTATATTATTCTCAAAGCTGAAATTGTGTGTTTGTGTGGGATAACAAAATGATGGAAATATATTTATATACACATCTGCTATATCTTGAGGCTATCTTGAGATGATTACGGGGCTTAGTGTCCCCGCATCCTTAATTTGTTACACATTCCCAAGAAGGAGCCACAAAATAAGATGCTTATCTTAACATACTAAGAAGGTTAGGTGAGGTCGGTGTTTTCTATGAAGTTTTTCAAGCTAAAATATTCACAATCAATTAGTATGTCACATATGCACTTATTAAATAAGCCAATATTGACTAGAGCAAGTGCGAGAACGGGTTGCCCAGGTACCTATTTACTGCTAGGTGAACAGGTGCAACAGGGCGAAAGAAACTTTGTTCATTTGTTTCCACCTCCACTGGGGGATCGAACCCGGAACCTTAGGAATACGAATCCCGAACGCTGTCCACTTAGCTGTCAGGCCCCTATATAAATATAAAGGTGTGGTTATTGTTAGGTAAAGCTCAGCCCCGCTCCTGTGCCAGGTAAGTCCACTACGGGCTCACCATAGCCCGTGCTACTTTGGAACTTTTGTTCTAAGTAGCTGAATCTAAAACAAAAACATATTGTTAGGTAAAGCTCAGCACCGCTTGCTGTGCTTGGGTGCTGAGCGCAAGGACTATTTCAACCTCTGGAGGGTTATTAGGGCTTTTACCAGCTATATATATTCATGCAACCTATCCTCTTACAAAAAACGTCGCATTTCGATCGTATGCGTTACACAAGACAAAAAAAAAGTACTAGAAAATGAAACGGCTGGCGAAAGTGACGTACTGTTCCGTTTTCTGTTTTGGGTCTTCTGGTAGGTTAGGAGAGACCACTTTAGATTGACCGTTTTGTTGACTTTGGGAAACCTTAGGTGGACGGACTGATTCATGCCCGTGTCACCTCTTGGGTGGCTTAATCTTTATCGACCAATCTTATTAAGGCTACCACAATCACTTCCTTACTACCAATCGACACAGCCCCGCTCCTGTGCCAGGTAAGTCCACTACGGGCTCGCCATAGCCCGTGCTACTTGCACTGCTCCTGTGCCAGGTAAGTTACGGGCTCACCATAGCCCGTGCTACTTGCCCCGCTCCTGTGCCAGGTAAGTTACGGGCTCACCATAGCCCGTGTTACTTGCCCCGCTCCTGTGCCAGGTAAGTAACGGGCTCACCATAGCCCGTGCTACTTGCCCCGCTCCTGTGCCAGGTAAGTTACGGGCTCACCACAGCCCGTGCTACTTGGAACCTGTTCCGAGTAGCTGAATCTATAACAACAACAACAACATTTCCTTACTAACCAATCAAGTTTACTTTCGTCTTGAACATAGTCCAGAACAAAGTGAACTCAGCATACATACACGGTGAGGTCGGGGTATACCTCTATATATCGGATTAACATTCATGTGCAGCGATACTGAACACATTCCGTAATCGTCGACGCACCGGTTAACCCGTCCACTAAACTGGTATACTGAATTGACCGAACCTAACCTGATCAAGGACCCACGGATAGAAAACGGGACATCGCGTCCATTTTGGGGGCCGCTATGATATTTAATGCACCAGTTTTGGGGGCCTTAGGAGATTTATACGTCAAAATGTAATGTACTATTCAAGAGGACGGGTTGGATTTTACATTTAGGAGAGTTCCCCCTATTGCGTCAGTTCATGACGCAATAGGTCCTCTAGAGCCGTCATAACGTCGCTAAAATGATGTACTAAATTGCCCGAATCTTCCCTGACCGATGGACCCACTAACAGAAAACGTAACAGCCCAACAATTTAGCGATCCGCTATGGTTTATAGTACATTATATTTTGACGTTGGGGATTTTTAATGTCAAAATACGTTGCATTATACGAGAGGAAAGGGTTGTATGATGAAAGTTGTAGTCAAACCTGTCCTGCTTAGTACCCAGCGAGGTGGCGAGGACTCGTGTCATCTGTCTGGTGGGTTTCCCGCTCCGGCGTCGATGGTAAAAAGTCAGGTAGTATTTCCCCCAGAGCGATGGGGTTTATATAGATCACAGTCGTGATCGGGGCCTCACAGAGTGCGCACGCACGTCCGACAACTTGGAAGCTCCCAGCTTGGCCTCAGCGCTCCCAGCTTAGCCTTAGCACTCCTAGCCTGGCTCCCAGCGCTTCTAGCCTGGCTCCCAGCGATCCTAGCCTGCCCCTAGCGCTTCTAGCCTGGCTCCCAGCGTTCCTAGCCTGGCCTCAGCGCTTCTAGCCTGACTCCCAGCGATCCTAGCCTGCCCCTAGCGCTTTTAGCCTGGCCCCAGCGTTCCTAGCCTGGCCCCAACGCTCCCAGCCTGGCTCCAGCGTTCCTAGCCTGGCCCCAGCGCTTCTAGCCTGGCCCCAACGCTCCTAGCCTGGCACCCAGCGCTCCTAGCCTGGCCCCAGCGCTCCTAGCCTGGCCCCAGCGCTTCTAGCCTGGCCCCAACGCTCCCAGCCTGGCTCCAGCGTACACGCAAAGTCATGTGAGATTAAGCAGCAGTGTTTTAACAATTTCTCGACCAGATCAGCTAAACTGAGAATTGAGTGAAAACATTCTGATAGAGAGTTCTAATATCATAAACATCTAGAAACATTAAAAGCTGTGTATACCAGATCCGGTTTGTGAACATTTATGTACTCGTCTAATTGTGGTGCGGAGGAGGATGGACTTTAGCTCTTTGGTCACGCCTCCCAGCCTTCAGTGGTCTTGGATACAGGTTTCCAAGCTTTTCGAGTTCTGGCACACCTACATTTCAACCTGTGTATGGAATCTGTTTCAACCCCATAACTTTTTAGAATATTCGATTCAGTAATATATAAGTTTCCTTTTGTGTCCTCTAGTTCGAGTACCAATTTTTCCTATCAAATTTCCCCCTGAGAATTTTGTATGCAATAATCATGTCTCCCGTCAAGGACACTTCCTTCCGTCTGTCCTTGTAACTCATAACTCTCAGCTCTTGGACAAAGTCTGGTGGCACGCATCTAGAGTACAAGAACCACGATGACGTTGCATATGGCTTAACCATAAACTTTAAAACGGTGCATGACTTCCGCAGTTACCATAGGCTTTAGGAGAGTATGTCCCCCATCGTTACTAGACGCTAAAATATATGTCCAAATATATTATAAGGCAGTGTATACCACCATCTGACAACGAAGAAGACATTTCACTGCTCAGGCTCGATGTTAATCCAGCGAGTTCTTTCTAGTACATTAGAGTCCGAGTGCTGAAAATGTGGAACAAAAAAGAGACGTGGACTGATCTTTACTCTTGCAGATGTCTGTGATGAATTATCAACATCTCGCCCTCGTCTTGACCCTGGGTGTCCTCCTGAGCACGGAGGTGGCTGGACACTATGGCTTCTACGGTCACCAAGGCCAGTACCGACCATTCGGTCACTTTGGAGGAGGAGGCAGATTCCAAGGAGGTCGTGGCTTTCCTGGGAATACCTTCGGAGGCGGAAGAATCCCAGGTGGTGGTGGTGGTGGTACCACAGTTAACAGTGAGTTTCTCTAAACAATGAAACAAGCAACAACAATATTTTTTTTTTTTTAAATGTCAAAATACGTAAAGGCATAATGTCCTTAAGACCAATGAATGCAGTAAACACTACACTGATTGTTATTACACTACCTTCAGTCGCTTCACTAGCAAGGGGAAAAGTAACTAGCTTTACTTGTGTGGTATCAATGTGGATCTTCCTTCCCCCAGGGCCCGTAGGAGGGACCTGTCCCCCAGTGCGACCTTCCTGCACAGCCTCCAGGTCCCAGCCGGCTACGTGTACGTCGGACAGACAGTGTTCAGGGGGCTTCAAGTGCTGCTTCGACGCCTGTGTCCAGACCGAAGTGTGTAAAGCCCCCGTCTAGCGGTCCACCGGGAGCCATCACCGGGAGCCATCACCGGGAGCCATCACCGGGAGCCATCACCGGGAGCCACCACCGGCAGGTCGTACCAAGAGCGCTGTTCTCTCGTCCTAAACAACTTGTCTCCCGTAATGATCACAGAATATCTCTTAACTCTTCATCAGTAAAATATCAGTATTATAAACCATTTAAAAACATATGTGAAAGTTCCGTTATTTGAATATGGTTAAATAGCATTCTGTTATCTGAACATATCAACATAAGCTAGAATTTAGAATCGTTGCAATCTGCAATATACATCCAATAAGCAATATAATAAATGATTACTACGAAATTTGTACCAGAGGAGGAGCTGTTGTATTTTGTTCATGTACATCGATGACCTTGGTATTATAAATAAACATTTTTGCTTCTATTACTTCTCAATAGCATATTATCCTCATAATGAAACCGTTCACGTATATGTCCAGGCCTCTTTCTGTTGGGGCTTGTTTAAATTAAAGAGAAAAGTCAAGGTGAAAATTCACTAAATTTTCATGTTGACTTCCATACAACCTGATACTCGGAGACCATTTAGACTCCCAGGACTATAACGTACCCGGGTATTGACCTACACAAGACTGCTCTCAGCAGTGCCCTATTCTCGGTAGCTCTCTATCACCAACGATAACAGGAAAAGCAGAGTCAAAGGTCAGTGCTTACATCACACTTGAATTTCATGAATGAAATTATTTGACAATCTTTCCTGGTGATACGTTATCAACCTCAGTGATAACAGGGGAGGGATAGACGCACGTGTATGGATGTGTGTGTGTGTGTGTGTGTGTGTGTGTGTGTGTGTGTGTGTGTGTGTGTGTGTGTGTGTGTGTGTGTGTGGAGGTTAGTGAACGAGATGGAGGGAGGTGACAGAGGGAGAGATAAGAACGTTTGCACTCACGAAGACAGATAACAACAGACACTTCTTATCAAGTTCTTTCTCTGCAGTTTGTGACCTTATGGGAATGTAATTATCAAAGGAAAACGTTGTCATTATGACTATAGAGGGCTTGGAGGGTACTTGAGAACAGGGAGCTAGGATATGAGGACAAGGAGCTGGGATATGAGGACAAGGAGCTGGGATATGAGGACAAGGAGCTGGGATATGAGGACAAGGAGCTGGGATATGAGGACAAGGAGCTAGGATATGAGGACAAGGAGCTGGGATATGAGGACAAGCAGCAAGTGCGCGTGTGTGCGTGCACGCGCGTGTATACACATTTCATAATGTCGAACCAAACTGACCACACATAAGATTCTAAAAGGTTGAATGTGTGTGGCTCAGGAACAAAGCTGCAAAATGGCATATGGTGCAGGCGCACCACAGGTAAGCTGAAAATAGTTATGGTGTGACAAGAATTGTGGAAGAACCACATACAATTACAGAGACAGTTTTTCACGTCGCAAAACGCGACTTCTCCCAGCTCACCATCATAATAGTTCATGACTACTGGCATAGTGCCAGGGTTACAGTTCAAAATAAAATATGGGGAGGTTAATGTAAACATATTCAGTGGACAAATATTTATTAAATGTATATACAAATAAATAAATTATACATAAATAAGTTAATGTTTCACGAGATTTCAATTTGATTAAGGAGCGGGGGTCAGGCCAGGTCCATGTCGATGTCCTGCATCTTCTTGACCCAAGCACCAGCTGGTCTTCAAGCTGCTGTATTATGTTGTGTTGCCGTCATCACAAGACGCTGATTGTTGACGAGTCAACCTCAGTGTTGTCGAACAGCAAGACGCAGGTGTAGTCTCCGGCGTACGAACTCGAGAAGCGGTTGAAGACGAGGTAGGAGTGAGGAACATGGGTGCCAGAGCCCAGGGAATACACAAAGTTGTTATTGTCGGACCATCTGGCCACCGTGTCACCTGTGGAGGTCCGCCACTGGACCTGGTACTGGTGCAGGTTGCTCGTGGTCGACACCTCCGCCCTGCAGAACACGAAGGCGTTCTCCATGTAGCCAATGTCGACGGAGGTGCCGTTGACAATGACAGCTTGACGGGACGACTGGTGATGGTGGAGGGTGAGCGAGGCTGAGAGGGAGGCCAGGGAGACGACCACTACGGCAGTCACCAACGTCGCCTGCATCATGGTGCTCTGATGTCTTGACATTTTTCGCAGTTGAGAAATGTGTATAAAGAATTTACTTGGTAGCTTTAATGTTAAAAGTATCTTCGTAAAGGTAAGCTAATGTGCTCGACAGCTTGTGGATTGCTAATGAATGCTGCCATAAGCAGGGCCCATTTATATAGCCCCAAAATGAAGAAACGTTTTCATGCTGCGGTAATCATAAATACACGAACTACCCTCGTTACGTGTGTGTCCGTACAGCTTCATCCTCCCGGGAGTTGTCGACACACAGGTATCATGTTCGTAAAGTTGGACATGCGATAATCATCTACTTACCTTGCTCGCGTGTCTTACGTCACATTACTGAATCAGCGGCCTCTAGTGTACTGTGAACCCCATGTTCATCCTGTTAGTGGTAGTGTTCTGTGCACCCCATGCTCATCCTGTTAGCGGTAGTGTAGTGTACTGTGAACCCCATGCTCATCCTGTTAGCGGTAGTGTAGTGTACTGTGAACCCCATGCTCATCATGATAGCGGTAGTGTAGTGTTCTGTGCACCCCATGCTCATCATGATAGCGGTAGTGTAGTGTACTGTGCACCCCATGCTCATCCTGTTAGCGGTAGTGTAGTGTTCTTTGCACCCCATGCTCATCCTGTTAGTGGTAGTGTTCTGTGCACCCCATGCTCATCCTGTTAGTGGTAGTGTTCTGTGCACCCCATGCTCATCCTGTTAGTGGTAGTGTTCTGTGCACCCCATGCTCATCCTGTTAGTGGTAGTGTTCTTTGCACCCCATGCTCATCCTGTTAGTGGTAGTGTTCTGTGCACCCCATGCTCATCCTGTTAGCGATCGTGTAGTGTTCTGTGCACCCCATGCTCATCCTGTTAGCGGTAGTGTAGTGTTCTGTGCACCCTATGTTCATCCTGTTAGCGATAAGGTACTGTGCACCCCATGCTCATCACGTTAGCGGGATGAGCCACCCTGTTAGTTATTTTAGTAACCTTGCCATTCAACACAAGTTTGTCAGACCCGATGACTTTCCCTTTCTAAATCCATGATACCCTATTGTCACATTGTTGGTCCTCTCCAGATGCCTCACTGTTCTTAGCCTGATTACGTTCTCCACCACTTTACACGAGAGATCATTATCAGTGTCATTACCAGTGACAATGATCTGTAATTTAGTGTCGTCTGTCAATCCATCATTTTTAATATTAGGACTAAGTTTGTCCTTTTCCAAAAATTCTGAGAGATTTCGTCATAAGTGTTTACAGCTTCCTTCAGCAGTCATGGGTTAAGGAGGGCAGGTAGAAGACAAGATAGACAGCTCTTGAGTCAAGTTATTAAAGTTCGTAGACTTTGAAGTTAATAATATTATACTTTTCAAACTGGACACTACTCAATGCGTTCATCAAAATTAAGATATTATAACCATGAATATTTGTGATAAGAAAATCTAATCGACGTTGAAAAAAATATATATAATTAGCTGCCTTACATAAAAAAAAAATAGCTGCACTCAATCAGGTTTCAATAAATGTAATGTAAAATGTGTCACTTGTTCGGTTATAAGCATAATATTATATTAATATAATTATTATAAAGGCACTTTCCATGTTAATATGTGAGGCGTCAAGCACCACACTATTGATAAAGTGACTGTCTACATTCACAGAACTCTCAAGATGACCCGACCTGCCCAGAGCGATAATATTGTTATCAGCGATAACAACACCTCATGTTTGTAATCTTTGAAGCTGATTTGTTTTAATTTATGAATTAAGACACGCGTGCTACTATCAGTAGCGTAAATCACCTCACAGAAGACAATCTTCTCAACAACTGTCTTTCTCACTGGCCTTCTTCACTCACATTAGACTCCTTCACAATAAACAAATTAGAGAATTCTTAAAATGTGTATACGCGTTATGGATAATTATTGATACAAAGATATGTAACCAACTTTAGTGTGGCTCCCTGGAAACACAAACCGAAACTGTCTCTATTTTCCGCTTTTTACAACTTGTAATAAAGTTGTTACATCTTGGCTTAACGTGTTTATGACGTATTAGAACGTTGTTACAACTTACTATATTGGTTGTTATAACTGGTTAGGAGGTGTTAAAACTTATTCGAACGTTGTACCAACGTCGTAGTTTCGGTGTGTGTTTGGCGGGCTGACACCAAGTACAACTGACCAACGAGATTTACATTCATTTATTTATTATGCACCCAATACCCATTCCGTGGGTGATGGTGGAAAGGCTCCCGGGACACTTATCAACCCGTCCTCTTAAAATAAGGTCGCTTTTCGCTCGTATGCGCGCTATGGCCAAAAATGGAATTAATTTGAAATGAAATCGGCTTACGAAAGTGGCGTACAGTTCCGTTTTCTGTTTTGAGTCCTCCGGCTTACTCGGTTAGGTTAGGAGAGGAAACATTCAATTAACCGTTTTCATGACGTTTTGAAACCTTAGGAGAATTTCTTGCCCTCCTAACCTACCAAAGGACCCTTAACTTGCTGCTATTAGAAAAAAATACTAATTTATTTTCAATTATTTTTCATTTTTAAATTACCTCCATTTTCGGCCATACGGACAAACGGGCAAATTCAGACTAATTTGTAAGAGGGGGGTTCTGCTCGAACCCCCCCCCCCCTTCCCTCCTGTCAAGTGTGGACGTCGACCGCCTTCACAGGTCGTAGCCGGACTCTCAAGAAACAGCTGAATGGGAAGTCTGATATTACAAACACTTTACATCATCCAGACTTAATACAAAAAGCAAATGGATCATTGTACCACAGAATCCACCAATTGTATATCTCTATCTTAACATGCACGAACGGTTGGTACCCCTACGCTAACATACATAAATGGACGAATGCCCACCATAAAACACATGAGCAGGGTGGGTGCTCTACCTAGGTTACGAACGGGTGAACCTTGCTACCCAAAGATACACGAACGGATGGTATGAGTGAGAAATGGAACCCATTAGCGACGAGAGAGTCGTGACGCAATTCACATCCGTTTTCTACACTAATCGGCTAAATTAATAATACGTATATAATGTTACCAATACTGCGACAGAATCTCCTTCTTACACATCACATTTCAACATTTTGTAACTATCCACTAAGATATGTGAGAGGGAAACATTTCATGATAAAACCACCATGGAAGATATATTATAAACACGGAACATGACCCTATTGGAACAAATACAAAATGGATATTATCAAAACGTATTATCAAGGTTAAGACACTGAACGAGTGAATCCCTTGCTTCCGATTACT